ATATATATACTATTTCCTGTGATTGGTAGAAAAAGCCCTTTAGGGTACTTAGATTTATTTTTCTGAGAATCACTTAAATTAACTTGACAGCGATTATGTCTTCTATCAGCTTAGGAGCTGCTCAGCACACAAAGTCTGTGCACAACTGCCTTATTTTTTTAACACTTTCATCACAAAAAGATTTTAAGAGTGAGAATGATATACTGAGTAACTCTCCAGAGCTTTATCAACATGTGGCCAAGACTGTTTTACCTCGAAGACCCTTGGCCAGGGTTTGAGACTGGAAGCAAATCCCAGATCCAATGCTATTTCTTTTCTCTCCCTCTCCCTCCCCATCCCCCTTCCTCTCTTTCTTTCTTCTTGTTTTTATCTGTTTGGGACAGGGTCTCACTATGCAGCCCAGACTTGTAGTGACCCTCCTGTTTTCAGCCTCCCAAGTGATGGGATTACAGGCGTGTGCCACCATGCCCAGTCTCAGTTGCCAGCTCAGTGAGCCTGGGCACAAGGCCAGCCTGGTATGTGGTGCTGGGGACCGAATCCCAGTCCCTGTGCTTGCCTAAGCAGGCACTTAGTCTGCTGAACTATCTTGCTAGCCATCCAATATCATTTCTTTAGTGAACGCTTCAGCAGGTTTCCCTGAAATATGAGATAGTACTGTTGTCACACAACCAAGGTATTTTCTTTCTTTAAATTTAAAAAGCTGTATGGGCAGATGCCTTGTTTTTGATCTTTTTGATTTCGGAGGGTTTTTTTGTTCAACTGTTTCTGAGGTGAGGTTTACTTTTTGTTTTTGTGCTAAGGATCAAACTCAGGGGTTCTAGCTTACTAAGCAAGCATTCTACTGCTGAGCTAAATCTCTAGCCCCAACAACCAAGAAATTTAAAATTCCTTAAAATGCCGAGTGTGGTGGGACATGCCTATAATTCTAGCACTTGGGAGGCTGAGGTAGGAAGATTGCTGCTGCCAAGTTTGAGAACAGCCTGAATTGCATAGTGAGACCCTGTCTCAAAAAGACACACACACACACACACACACACACACACACACACACACAACAAACCTTACTATCATGTAATATCCTGTTTTTTTGTTTTTTTGCAGAACTGGGGATTGGACTCAGGCCCTTGTGCTTGCCAGGGAAGTGCTTAGTCCACTGAGCCATCTCCCTGGCCCCACTATCATGTAATATCCTGTTCATTTTTAAAATTTCCCAATTAGCTCATTTCTTTCTGTATGTTCATTCAAATCAAGATCCAGCAAAGGGCCACACATCGCATATACTTGAAAAATCTCTTCTGTTAAAAATCTGCAGCAGTTCTCTTTTCTTCCCTCGGCATCTTGGTCAATGCAGTTATTTTTACACTGGTGAATGCTTAGTCTCAAGCATGCTCTCTCCTCCACACACACAAAAGGTCTAAAGGCAGAACAGGGCTCTAATCTGCAAGAGCAGCAGGAGCTCACACAGCAGAATGATGCCAGCCTGGGCCCTGTTCCCTGACTACTGGGTCCTGCCAGATGCAGGCTAAGGGGATTTTTATAGAACAGGAAACCTACTCTTTCTTGCAAACTGGTTTTCAGAACTGTTTTTACATCATGTGTAATAAAACTAATGCAAGAGAACCAAACGCTTATTGCAGCCTTTTCTAGCTTTCCTAGATCTTGGGTACAAGTCCTGTCTTCTTTTTGCCCATGACCACACCTTCCAGCTACCAGTTTGTTTTCCATTTCAATTACAAGAACTACTTTCTAAGGCTTATAGTATAGCCAATACATACAAACAGGATGAAAAGTACAGACAGCTGGCGTATGTGTATCCTAAGTACTTTGCTCTGTCATTTCTATCTACATCAGAGGAAGTTATTCACTGTCCTTATGAATAGCCCCATGTGTGCTCAGTCACTGACAATAAACATCATCATAGTGCCCAGTCGAGGTGTCTCTACCACATGTAGCAGACAGAGACAGATCGGAAATCTGAATTATAATACCAGTTTTATTTTATTTTTTGGCGGAACCGGGGATTGAACTCAGGCCCTTATGCTTGCCAGGCAAGCGCTTATTCTACTGAGCTCTCCCCCCAGGTCCTACAACACTAGTATTAGCAAAACATACTGCTCCAAAAAATTCCATTCATGATGCTATAAATAAGCCACCCAAAAGCCACTTTGGGAGTTTCCCGTGCTGCCAAGGAAAACAGAAAATGGATGAATACCACAAGGACAATAACCTACATTGGGTCTCCGGATCGTATGTGCTTGCACGCTGTCTGTATTACAGATTCACAAGCTTCATTCAAAGCACGGTCAATGCGGTAATCTGCACCTGGGTCCGTCTCCTGAATCAGTGTTTGAAGCTGGATTTTAAAAAATTAAGAAGAAAGTCAGGCACCAGAAAAGCAGTGTCATCGGGTTCTCAGTCTGGCATACCACAGTGTCGTCTAACAGAGTACACAGTAATCACCGGCTCAATTCAAGAACTCTCACCAAGTTCCTTCCGACTGGTTTCTCCACCTAGCTGCACATGTCTGGGTAACTTACTGTGGAGACGGCATATCTACAGCTCTGAACCATTCCTGTACGTCTGCAGATCTTCACAATATAGCTGTATGGCCCCTCTCCTTCCTCTTATCTGTATACTCGCCAATCACATTACTAGATGACACTCAAGGGGAAAGACAGAATTCACTGGAAGAAAAGAAAGGGCTCCCTACAGTCAGGGATGCTGCTCAGGGACCTAGCATGAGTAAGGTCCTAGGTTTGATCCTGAGCACTGAAAACAACAAACTGTACATCTCTTGTTAGAGACCTGATATGGTCCTAAAAATGACTTAATTTTTCTGTGATGACATGGTTATTAAAAGAAATGTATTCACTGTGGGGTGGGGGTGCACATGAGCCAGTCCAACTACTTGGGAAGCTGAACTGACAGGTAATTCCAAGTTCAAGGTCAGCTGGACAAGTTATTGAGATTGTATCAAAATTCCTTAAAACACTCAGTGATAGAACATTTCTGTATTTAATCCCCAGTACTGTAAAGAAGCAAAAACAAAAGTGTACTTTGCTTTATTGAAAACAAATATAGCCAGGTATGGTGGCATAGGCCTGTAATCTAGCATTAGGGAGGCTGAGGCAGGAGGATGGCTATGA